AATTATTATATTTATTATTAATAATATTTAATTGTTGTATAGGAGATGGTAAGCTAAAATTTTAGAATTAATTATGAATTTATAAATCGAGAACTAATTATGTTAGCACATAAAAATTTGAGGTAATGAATGACAGGAAAAATATTGTAGCGTATTGCATTAATTTAACTGCATAATTTAGACCCTGAATAAAATCACGAAAATATAATTTAAACATATGATGCATGTGTGCTTCTTAAATTTTGATTGATGTTCAAAGTTCCATCCAGGTTCTGCACAAGATAAAAAGATAATATTTTTAGTTATTTATAGATTTAGAAATGCTTGCTGACATTCATGGCCATGACAAGAGAATTTTTTTTCATTTTTTGGCGATAGAAAACGCTGCAGTTTCTCTGAGGAAATATGTGCAAAAAGTTATATTGTTCACTAAAGCCGAACAAAGAATTGTTCTATAGGAGATCTCTTTTCCCGCTGCCTCCCTAAAGCGATCGGTTGCGTCAAATAAGGATATGAAATGAAACGGACTTCGAAAAACTTATGGGGATTTTGAGCTAATATAACAATGGGTCGAAAAAAATTATTTCGGGCGAGAAACGCTGGAAAAATTGCGCTTTGGCATTGTATGGCTCGCGACTATATATTTTAAAATAATTTGCATATTAACTTGACAAAATTGAAGCAATGTCTACATTGATTTTGACAAGTATTTGACAAAAGTATTTTATGTATTTGACCAAAGTATTAAGTACTTAATTAAGTACTAAATTAAGTCTGCGTAATTCAAGAGTCTTTAAGATTCAATTAAACCAATTACGTCAATCTGCATGCTAGTTAGTGGTTAATCTACCGTTGTTCAATAAAATATTACAGTTTCTTCTAATAATAACTTCAAATAAGAAAATAATAACACCCAGTCATCCATATATAATTTCACATCCTTGTACTATATTTTTAATTCTTAACTGTCCTTCAAGAACTATTAACAAAATCTCGATTTGATCATCTTAAGCTACGGTGATCACGAAGATGACCAAACTAATTCCAAAGTTGCAAGCCTGTGATTTATTTGTACCAATTTGATGTGATATTTGTTGAAATGTCAAGCCGCAACAAAATTCATAGCGACGGTGAAACCAAACTTGAATCATTTTGACTCGCGAATATCAAAGCTGCCCAACCGCTGCCATCTCCATTTTTTGGTCGTTGTAATAAGTCGCATGACAAACGTTCAGCTTGTCAATGAAACTGAACTCGAAAGATGCCTCAGAGAAAAAATTCCGGGTCGCCGCAGTTCTTCAGAATCGCGTCCAGAAATAACGAGCCTCGTCGTCTTGCAAGAAAGGCGCCGGCGATTTACTGAACCTGATCTATGAGTCATCAAATGATCTCCTGGGAGCTGAAACTTGTGAAAAGTATCCTCCCAAGAGTGATGGCCCGTCTGACGATAGATATATGGGTATACATATAGAAACTGTGAACCGGACAATTTCGGCCTCAGATGAAGAGATATCTTTATGAAATCTTACGAGAATATTGAAGCGTTTTTAGAGTGCTTTGCGTTCGCGAAATTCTGTTTGGAAATTTCTATGAAAGCGTTGGCGTTTTTTAAACTAGATTACGTTGTGAATATCAGGAAATGTGTTTGGGAGCAATATTCTTACATTCTGGAAGTTTTGACTTTCCAAAAATGAGGAACCGAAGTTTATTCCTCAAAATAAAAAGGTTTGTATATTTTCTCCTAAATTTGAGGAAATAATTAGGTGTCGAGTTCACGAAAAATTTTCCATTTTAAATATCAGAATTTATTTTTTTTTTGCCAAAATGTTTGAAAATATGAGTTTTTAGAAATTTCAATAGCATGCACGTTAAAAATCTGATCGGTGATGTTATACCAGGGATTAAAATATTTTGGCATGGCGTAATGAAGCCGCTGGTCGAAAAATGAAGGAAGGAAGCTGCGTTCACTTGACTTCGTTCTTAACCCCGCGAAGAGTTAAAAAAATTATGTACTTATATTCCAGACCGAAATTTATAGTTGATGTCTTTATTTCATTTGCAATATTCATACACTGCTTGGGGTTTACTAGTTTAGACAGATATTCACTTCGAAAAATAGGTTGTGAAACAGCGTAGTGTTAGTTTAAAATATTGGATAATAAAAAATAATTAAAGTATTAATGTCACTTATTTGCTTAAATCGCAAGTTGACTAAAAATTTAAAAGCAAAGAATAGTCCAAAAAAATTCATATCTTTATAGAAAACGTTTCGGAGTCCAGCTCCATCGTCAGTTCGTAGAATCTAGAAAATACATAGAAAGTCACAAGTTAATACAATTGAAAGCACAGAACACAATTAGAACCTAAATTTACAAGTAATAGGGCATAAAAACCTATCTATTCACAATTTCAAGGGGATAGGAGCTCACAGCTGAATTTAAACTGGGCCTAAGCTTAAANTTGTACATTTTTAAGCTTAGGCCCAGTTTAAATTCAGCTGTGAGCTCCTATCCCCTTGAAATTGTGAATAGATAGGTTTTTGTGCCCTATTACTTGTAAATTTAGGTTCTAATTGTGTTCTGTGCTTTCAATTGTATTAACTTGTGACTTTCTATGTATTTTCTAGATTCTACGAACTGACGATGGAGCTGGACTCCGAAACGTTTTCTATAAAGATATGAATTTTTGTGGACTATTCTTTGCTTTTACATTTTTAAAAAATAATTATTAACGGGATTGTAATCATTTAAGTAAAGTCACGTTGTCATAAGGTTCTCTGGAGTTTGTTAAAATCTATCTATCGTTAGAACAGTTTTCTTAGGAGCGTATGTATGTTAGAGGAGCTAGTTAGAAGCGTTTGTTGCAATAATATTGTTCGTTAAAAACGATTGTTGGAAGCGTATGTTATGTAAACCTTCGTTAGTAGCGCTCGCTAGAATCGTTCACTAAAATCGTTCGAAAACACGTGTTCGAAGCAGGACGTGTTAATGATTAATGAGAAAGAAGCTCAACGCCGATGTGCTCCAACCCAACAGGTATGAACGTGTACGTGTACACGTGTAGCTGCTCGCTGCGCTTTAGAGATGCCGGGCCGCTGTCATGCTACGTCAACGTGGCTTGAGATAAATGCGTCAACTTGAAAATAATATAAATATTGTGAAACACACATAATCGAACCATATAATTTATACTTAATGATACAATCAATTAGTGTCAATTGATCGCAATATTTCAAACACAGCATACGTGGAGCCTACACAAAATTCGCAATAAATTTACGCAGTATACAGGGTGGGGCAGAACCGATTGAGCAGTCCTGAGGCGAAATAAAAGAGTAATGGAGTTACATAAAGAAGAAAGTTTATTTTCCTCGAGGTTGGCATAACATACCATTTAGACTACTTATGTTTTGAAAACAATACCAGGAAGATGGTGGCCGTTAGCTGCAATATATATGAAAAATTGAATTCGCCATCATTTGGAAAACTTTCTTTTTCGCAACAAAATTTTTCACTGCTACTCGGAAAATTTATATCAGGAGTTACTTCACTGTAGCATGAAAAATTTGTGAACGCCCTACAACTGTCCGTCAGTTTTACTCGTACATACCGAATTCACGCTAAATTAAACGTGAATCAAAATCTTACAAGCCAAGCACGCAGAACGAAATCATGGTTTCATCTGGATCTCGCATGAACCGCAACCCAATAACTCCTTTCTACCTTGGATAAATCACAGTGGCAAATTCCTTCGTGTACTGTGCTGTTTGGGAAAACGGTTAGAGGTGGCATACAAGAGATTTACCTGCAATGTGCCATCGATGATTCAGATCCTATAAATCATCGATGATTCATCGGTGAATGCCACCTATACCCGCCACCCTCTCGATTTATTGGAGTTTTGTTGTCGATTTTTGGCAGATCTGGCCACCCACCGTTACGCCACCTGCAATCTACCATCGCCACCTATAATCATCGATGCGCCACCCTTAATTTTTACTTGGGTAAGAACCCCTCTATGTTTTCGTCTATGAAATAAACGTGGTTAGAAGACTTTTTTTAACACGTTTATAAGGAGCGTTCGGAAGAATTATTCATAATAGCCATTTCTTATAAACGTTTGCAAAGAACGGGTTCCTGCCTAGAAAATAGACGTGCCACGAGACAGTAAATTACAATGCTAGGATAATCCGCCTGTCACAGCAAGAGTGATGTTCAGTAGAAACCCTGAGAAAATATAGACCTCATAATCGCCCGAGGCTTGTAACAAGGAAATTTATTAGGGAATTACGAGCCTGCGCTACTTTAGCAAAGATAAATACCGTCTCCGCGCCGAGCTTTTCACCTGGTCTAATGTGGTCGTGATTTAAGACCAAAAAGCGAAAAGTAACGTGTAATTTGAGATTTATGATAATATATTTAGTTTCAGGCTGATTGGTGTAAGTAAATTTCATCGTGCTATGTAGTTAATTTGATAATTTATTTGTTGCAAATAGTTAGAAAATAATTGACAAAATGAATGGCGATGGAATATGCAATCTTATCTTAACAGAAATCTGAATAAAATTTTTAATAAAATATGTTCAAATTTCTACTTACGATAGATGAAGTGAAATAAAATTTCTCTAATTATTTTCAAATTTGAATCACTTCGTTGTGGAACAGAAATTAACTACGAATTATCTGCTCAAAATCCAGACTATATAATTCGCTCAGTTTTCCATTGTCGAGTCTCGTTTCTAAAATGGGTAACTTTTCCATTCACAATATTTTTTTTTGTCTGATGAGTAGAAAAAAATGAGTGAGGTATCTTTTCTGAGTGAGGTATCTTAGTGAGGTATCTTTAAATGAGTGAGGTATCTTTTCGAGGAAACTCATATATAATATTTTATTTGTCTGATGAGTACCTATAAAAAAATGAGTGAGGTATCTTTTTGAGGAAGCTCATATATAATATTTTGTTTGTCTCATGAGTAGAAAGAAATGAGTGCGTCTACTCACCGTCATGAGGCGCGTAGATGTTGAGGTAGAGGCAGTCTTCGCTCTGACGCTCAAGTTTTCGACTCTCAGATCTGGGTGCAAACATTTCATATTTAAATTAATACAATTAACAAGCACAATATTTACACGCATGTCATGGATTAAATTATTTTATTATTTGAAATAAATTAGGAAAACTGGTGTGTAATTCTGATTCATTCGTGTCAAAGGGATTTACCGATATAGCGACACCTAATTTTCATCAATGGAGTCCATTGACCAGCAAAAAATCTAAATCTATCTCATGGACAAAAATATTTAATGTTTCATACCTGAGATATTGCATTCGATCAGGTGGGAGAGACCCTCCAGGGTACCCCAAATGGGGGAGTTGCTGTGGACACACAGGGGGAAGTTCTGTGCATTTTTTCACCGCATCCCATGGCAATGGGGAGCTAGTTGGGGTAAACCGTCCTTCCCCTGTAGGAGGGCTGGCGTAGGGTACTCCCAAAAACGCCTCTACGGCGGGGAGTGTTGCTGATGAGTGTTGGCGGATAACTCCTTGTATGGGGCCATACTTGGTGGTCACCACTCTGCTCAACAGCTGGTCACACGAGCAGGTGGTTGAGAAAAACACCTGCACAACCACCTGCAGCACCAGCTGCCTCCTGGTGCTTTTTTGTTGATACATTGCCTGAATTTCCTTAGTCAGGCAAATGGGCCCGTTCTTGCTCCCATTTCAATTGAATTTTTGATTTCATACATTGTCATCCTTTGTCTTTATTTCAAAATTTTCAGGAATGCATTTTCCGCCTTATATTTTTTTGATTAATTTCAAAACATTTGGACTTCTTTTCTCTAGTTGGAAATTTTTATATTTCAGCACCTCACACGACGCAAAAGCCTAACGTTTCAGTAACCAAAGTTCAGGTTTCATTTCACTCTCACATTGTTGATGTCTGTAATAGTTAGTCAGTATATCTTTAAATATTTCAATATGAATTGATTAAACACCTCACCTCCTACGTTTCTCTCGTATGCAAACGTCATATATTCTAGCATTGTAAAATTTGCGTAATATCTTGCAATTGTCGCCTTAATTAACTGTGAAGCCTGAAACAAATATGTAAATTATGACATTTGCAGTCATATAAATGACAAATAGTTCACTGATAAGCCTAAAGCCATCTCTCTGATAAGCTGTTCAATAATACGGTTAGCGTTTCCTAAATTATTTTTGTTCTTATTTTTCTGATTTGTAATGCGATGAAATATAAGTAATGACAATTTTAATCATGTACGGATTTTCATCCTTATCCACCAGTGTTGGGAAAGATATAAAACACAGAAAATTATTTTGTCATCGACACATTATGATGTTAGATTTAGATGTTTTTTCATTTGTATTACGAAATATAAATAACGCACTGTAGAGTTCCTGGGTCGGTAAATATTGAAATTTAAATTTATTATATGTGTCAACGATGTCTCCTCCAACGCCTGTCAAAGGCCAACCTGAGGCAAAGAAGCTGGAGAAACTTGAAGCCTTCAGGGACAGGGATGCTGAAGACCCAATTAATTCAAGGAGTACAAATCGTGGATTTAACGGATGAAAATACTGAATCCAAAACGAGAACGTGATATATGCATGTCATGGGGGATCATCTTTGTACTTTCAGGAAGGCAATGATGACTGAAATTGCACATGCTTCCATGTTTTTTTCTCGGTTAAGCGTCATTCGAAATTGAAATCGGTTGAGGAAGAGCGCCAGCAGAGAGCACCCTGCCTCGATAGGGGAAATAGCTTCCGCGGGTCACATTTCATAGATATTTGCTCAAATATCTGTCAGCCGACAACAATCAGCGAAGAACAGTCTGGCAAGAAATGAATCTGGAAAGCGAAGTACGATCTGACTCTGGAATTGATGAACACTAGCCTGTCAGGCTCCAATTTTGGAGTGACTCGCGCTGCCAGCTTCAAGTCAAATTAAGTACAAATTTTGAGCTAAAGTTCGAAAAGCGAATTTGGCGAATTTGTTTAAATTGATTTACGACTCATTTTAGTTTCTGTCAACATTCAGCAAACATATTTTTTTGTTTTAGAAACTCAATTGCAATTCTAGATAACTTTCGAGTAGGATTCTAATTGAGAAAAATGTAATCAAATGCTTTTGGGAGTTTTAATTTATCGGATTCCGTAGTTCGGTGCATGCATATGTACAAAGATACCAAAGTCCAATACACGTTCTATACAAGATGGACAATCATTTTACTAGTAAAAGAGGATTTTCCATTCAACTGTCCAAATATTTCTGTAAAATCTAATTCAGTCAAATCAAATAATGTATGATGGAAAAGTTATGTAAGATTCCATGTATCCAATTTGCATTACCTGAATAAAAATTAAGGAAAATTTCAATTACTTGATTCATACTTTAAATTAATTCTCTTATAAAATCTTGCGAAATTTTGGTAATTTTGCACAATTTTTATCAACAAGATAAGTGAAGTTTGATTGATTGCAGAGTCCAAACTGGCCTATTGAAAGGTGATATTGTAAGTCATACCTGCTTCCTTTTAATTACAGTGGTACGTGGGCAGTCGTTGGTAATCCTTTGCAGGCACCGCAGAGGTGAAATTTATTGCAAATTATGTGTTACATCGTGGAAATCGAATAAAACGCACAAAATGATGACCTGAACGGGAAGCATATTTTTTTCCAACTTCATAAGATAGGAAACGGTACGTAGGCTGATTAACGAAACAGAGCATCATGCGTCTAAAAAAATTGCATGGATTGTTTTGACCGCTAAATTTCAATTGATGTGTTGCAGTTGGAAACGTTTTTTCGCAGTTTTTACTTATTGCGATACAAATTCGTAATACAAAAATCGATTATTTAACTCAATACAATCAGATGTGAACAGTTATCAAATGTATTTCATTATTATTATGGGGAAAGGCTGCGCTCTAGTGCTGCTCAAATTGAAATTTAGAGTACTGAACAATTTAGTTCTGAAAAGTTTAGTTTTTAGTGCTGAACTTTTAATTATGAACGGGTAGCTCATTACCTGACACCTTGATTATATTTTGGAAACCTAATACTGCACGTAATCAACTGTGTTATAGCCTAGATCAATCTATTCAACTCATAATCGGTCATCGGTGAAATTAATTAATAAATTGACTGGATCCTTGCAAACCCTGTCAAAATTTTCGTGCCGATTAAGGTCGTTTTAGAGGAACTATATTCGGCTTAGGGGTGAATCAGGAGCAAGTCGGCCACGTAGGGTGTTTTGCTTCTATTTACCAGCCTCTTTTGGAAGTCAATTGCCCGGTAGGCCAAATCTGCGTAATACGCTTAAAAAGAGCAGCTGGTCAAGCTTCGTCATGATGCCCCTGGTCAAACGCTGATGACGCTATCGCACGATCGGGCTGATCAGAGTCTGAACAAGGTAAACGCACGAACAATCGAAGTTCCCGCCATACGGGGGTATGTGGGGGTCTACCTCCCGCACCCCCATCCGGACAGAGCATACCGTTGCAGCAATTGAATTTGAATAGGAAGACGCCAGTTTGCATCGAACCTCCAACCGATCAGTACGTAGTGAAGAGTGCTCATTGCTCAATGCTTATCGAAAAGGTACTAGCCTTAGTAGCCTATTATAGTTTTGTCTCATTCAGAGAGCTTTAAACAATTTGATGCTTTCAGAGAGCTTTAAACAATTTCCTTAAATTATGACGTATTTGACTGGAAAATTTAAATTATGAAGGAAAATTTGTTAAGTTTTTCCCACGAGTGACAAGATGTAGTTGTATGGTGTATCTTCCACAATAACTTCTTTCAATCACTTCAGCAATCATACGATGCAAGTTCTTTTTTCGACAATAAGAGAAGATTTCATGCGGAATATGCTCTAAATCAGTTGTTATTTGATCAGTTCGTTGCAATAGGTACTTCTCAAGTTCTCGTCGGCAGGCGACATTCATCGTGACTACGCATTTGTGTTCAAGATCAAGATTTTGGCTGCGGTTGAAATTTTCAACTTTGGGCATGTCGACACGAGCATGTTATTTAAGCTGCTCCTGTTCATATGCTTAAGGTTTTAATTTCTATAAATCAACGCGTCAACTGGATTAAGAGTAGTCGGAACTCGAAAGCTTACCATTGCCAAGGATGCATGCAAGCCTACCTAACCGACTACCTAACAACACTCGACACTAATGGCCAGTGGGTGGGCCAGCTGAACAAGATGGAACAGGTTGCAGAGCGTATACCGATTAGTCGCAAGTAAGTTAGTTGCTTTTCTTCCGTTCTATCTACTCTATTTCGTTGTATCATCAGGCTTCATTATGGAGTTACATTCAAGTATAAGGATGAATTTGGTTATTTCTAAAGAACTACAAATTATACTAAGCCACAACAGAAACACTAAATAGATGCAAGAAACAAATACACACTACAATCACAACTAACTACATAGACAATCTACCAAACAATGCTGTACTCTTTGCACCAGCACCAGCCATAGACTCTTCAGAAACCCAATTACCCAGGCACACACGCCGAGCACTAGCACAACTCCGTACAAACAAGTCCCCCCTACTACACCAATACCTACACAAGATAGATCCAGCCACACATCCGTCCCCTCTTGGTCCACTCTGTCTCAGACATGATCACAACACCTGCCACCTGTTTGGCTGTTCGGAACTGGTCACGCCCTTGTCGCCCCTGGTTTTGTGGGACTCTCCCATCGAGGCGGCGGGGCTGTTAGCACGCTGGGGAGAGAGGTTGGGCTGGCCACAGAAATGGGTGTAGGCCCTGTCCCGCACTTGTCGCGGGACGGGGAGGGCGAACAACAACAACAACGAGCCTTAATTGAACTATTATCCGAAACTTATAACAATTAAAATACAATTTTAATTATATGAAATAAAATATGAATTATTTGAAAGAGAAACGTGCAGCGTGAATCAGAGGAAAACGGATTCATGGAAACCGTTCGACAAAGCGTCAGGATTGCATCAATATTTGTGTGCAAAAACTAAAATAGTGCAAAGAACTTGCGTTTATCTAAACGGACCGAGTTTAACAGGCGTAAATATTGCCCAGCTGATGCCTTACCCGATAAACGCCACGCTCGAAATGAAGACGTAGGAGTGTATATGTCAAGCTAGTGATTTTCTCGATGCATTTCTTGGCGAACGAGAAAAAAACTATGGCAATCGTCCTCCAGAGAGAGCAGAATAAGCTCGTGATATATAGCCCAATTTCGCGGGTGTTGCAAATGGCAGCAAGGGAAATGGAAGACGAAGGTAGTAACGGATATGGATGCAATGGTATCAAAGAAAATTTAAATAAGGGAACACTGATGTAAGACGGATCGTTCCCATGTTCACAGCGACATTTGTGATGTTATTTAGGCGAAGAAAATCTCTGTAAAATATGAACGAATTTTTGCAACTGTTTGAGTTAGCGGATAAGCTAACATGTTTTTTGAGGTAAAGCTACTGAGGGGAAGTAAGGGATTCGTAAATCAGACATATTTGTTTAAAAAATAGGTTTTTGTAATGGTTTTTGTCAGGATTATATGACGAGATTACTCGCAAATGCTGCATTTAATAACAATTTGAATATGTTAGGGGTTGCTTGGAAATAAGGACATACCCTGAAGGTCCTGAAATTTT